TCGTCTGTAAGTTTCCAAAGAAAGCAGAGTCCATATCGCACTGCCCAGCCCAGCCCATGTGATCCCTCCAGGAAGTCATCAGGGAATTCATTCTGCCAACATATTCTTTGCTGATATGGTCTCTGCCCACCCATCTCATATCCTCAACTCAGCTCCTCAGGGAGTATCGGAGAACATGATCAAGCACCTAACTCAACAGTCAGCTACCCAGGTTCTGGTTGTGCTAGATCCTCCTCATACCTTAGTTTTTGCATCTGTAAAAGAGGGATAATAACAGTACTGATCTCACTGCATTATTGGATCAAGTAACCTACTTAGCTGACTGTAGAGTTAGGTGCTTGATCATATTCTCCGATGCTCCCTGTGGGGCTGAGTTGAGGATGTGGTCAAGATTTGGGAGCTGAGAACAAAATGGAACTAAAGCAGAGGTACAGACAGCCTATTCTGGAGGGACTTCCACACAGAGGACTGGCACCCAGATCTCATGGCAGCAGAGCTAACATGACGCTTTCCCTCTTTCCCTCACCCTCCAACTTTTTTCTGACAATCCATCATGGTGAGCAGGTGGGCAGACCATAGCCACCCAGGTTTACACACAGTCCCAGGAATACCAGACTGAGATGGGTGGGGAGAGACCATATCAGCAAAGAATATGTTGGCAGAATGAATGAAGACCTACAAGACCTTCTAGAACTAACACCCAAAAAAGACGTCCTTTTCATTATAGGGGACTGGAATGCAAAAGTAGGAAGTCAAGAAACACCCGGAGTAACGGGAAAATTTGGCCTTGGAGTACAGAATGAAGCAGGGCAAAGGCTAATAGAGTTCTGCCAAGAGAATGCACTGGTCATAGCAAACACCCTCTTCCAACAACACAAGAGAAGACTCTACACCTGCACATCGCCAGACGGCCGACACCAAAATCAGATTGATTATATTCTTTCCAGCCAAAGATGGAGAAGCTCTATACAGGCAGCAAAAACAAGACCAGGAGCTGGCTGTGGCTGAGATCATGAACTCCTTATTGCCAAATTCAGACTGAAATTGAAGAAAGTGGAGAAAACCACTAGACCATTCGGGTATGACCTAAATCAAATCCCTTATGACTAGACAGTGGAAGTGAGAAATAGATTTAAGGGAATAGATCTGATAGACAGAGTGCCTGATGAACTATGGACAGAGGTTTGTTACATTGTACAGGAGACAGGGATCAAGACATCCCCAAGAAAAAGAAATGCAAAAAAGCAAAATGGCTGTCTGAGGAGGCCTTACAAATAGCTGTGAAAAGAAAGGAAGCGAAAAGCAAAGGAGAAAAAGAAAGACATACCCATTTAAATGCAGAGTTCCAAAGAATAGCAAGCAGAGATAAGAAAGCCTTCCTCAGAGATCAGTGCAAAGAAACAGAGGAAAACAATAGAATGGGAAAGACTACAGATCTCTTCAAGAAAATTAGAGATACCAAGGGAACATTTTAGGCAAAGATGGGCTCAATAAAGGACAGAAATGGTATGGACCTAACAGAAGCAGAAGATATTAAGAAGAGGTGGCAAGAATACACAGAAGAACTGTACAAAAAAGATCTTCATGACTCAGATAATCATGATGGTGTGATCACTCACCTAGAGCCAGACATCCTGGAATGTGAAGTCAAGTGGGCCTTAGGAAGCATCACTACGAACAAAGTTAGTGGAGGTGATGGAATTCCAGTTGACCTCCTTCAAATCCTAAAAGATGATGCTGTGAAAGTGCTGTACTCAATATGCCAGCAAGTTTGGAAAACTCAGCAGTGGCCACAGGACTGGAAAAGGTCAGTTTTCATTCCAATCCCAAAGAAAGGCAATGCCAAAGAATGCTCAATCTACTGCACAATTGCACTCATCTCACATGCTAGCAAAGTAACGCTCAAAATTCTCCAAGCCAGGCTTCAGCAATACATGAACCATGAACTTCCAGATGTTCAAGCTGGTTTTAGAAAAGGCAGAGGAACCAGAGACCAAATTGCCAACATCTGTTGGATTATCAAAAAAGCAAGAGAGTTCCAGAAAACCATCTACTTCTGCTTTATTGACTATGCCAAAGCCTTTGACTGTGTGGATCACAATAAACTGTGGAAAATCCTGAAAGAGATGGGAATACCAGACCACTTGACCTGCCTCTAGAGAAACCTGTATGCAGGTCAGGAAGCAACAGTTAGAACTAGACATGGAACAACAGACTGGTTCCAAATAGGGAAAGGAGTAATTCAAGGCTATATATTGTCACCCTGCTTATTTAACTTATATGCAGAGTACATCATGAGAAACACTGGACTGGAGGAAGCACAAGCTGGAATTAAGATTGCCAGGAGAAATATCAATAACCTCAGATATGCAGATGACACCACCCTTATGGCAGAAAGTGAAGAAGAACTAAAGACCCTCTTGATGAAAGTGAGAGAGGAGAGTGAAAAAGTTGGCTTAAAACTCCACATTCAGAAAACTAAGATCATGGCATCTGGTCCCATCACTTCATGGCAAATAGATGGGGGAAACAGTGGAAACAGTGGCTGACTTTATTTTTCTGGGTTCCAAAATCACTGCAGATGGTGACTGCAGCCATGAAAGTAAAAGATGCTCACTCCTTGGAAGGAAAGTAGGACCAACCTAGCCAGCATATTAAAAAGCAGAGGCATTACATTGCCAACAAAGGTCTGTCGGAGTCAAGGCTATGGTTTTTCCAGTGGTCATGTATGGATGTGAGAGTTGGATCATAAAGAAAGCTGAGCACCAAAGAATTGATGCTTTTGAACTGTGGTGTTGGAGAAGACTCTTGAGAGTCCCTTGGACTGCAAGGAGATCCAACCAGTCCATCCTAAAGGAGATCAGTCCTGAGTGTTCATTGGAAGGACTGATGTTGAAGCTGAAACTCCAATCCTTTAGCCACCTGATGCGAAGAGCTGACTCATTGGAAAAGACCCTGATGCTGGGAAAGATTGAGGGCAGGAGAAGAAGGGGATGACAGAGGATGAGATGGTTGGATGGCATCACCGACTCAATGGACATGGGTTTGGGTGGTCTCCGGGAGTTGGTGATGGACAGGGAAGCCTGGTGTGCTGCAGTTCATGGGGTAACAAAGAGTCGGACACGACTGAGCAACTGAACTGAACTGAACCTACTTTTGTTAAAGAAACTAGAACAGTGTGTGAGACAAAGGGAATGCTGGCTATTATTATTTAGCATTCTTTTCATAGAAGGGAGAGAGTCCACCTGATCTGTATCAGTCCTGTGCCCTGAGTTTTTCCCATCTCTGGGCTTGGTTCTTATTATTTGAGGCAGTTCTGGTCTCTAGGAACTTTTCTCTGTAGCCACTCCTGGGTTTCCTTCAGTGCTGTACTTTGCCTCTCTGAGAGGCCAGTCAAGGCCAGGTTTCAAAAAGGTAGTCTTTCACTGCCACCCTGATATAGTCCATTTGTGATTGTTTCGAAGGTGTTAGTCTTGATCTCTCAAACCTCTGTGTGCTTCTTGAAGGAAGCACAACAATTCTGCTGTGTGCATTTTCTTCATCTCCCAACTATGCCTAACATAGTTCTAGGCACTGGTGGCATGACACAACAGCACTTGGGAGAACCAAAAGCAATTTTCTAGCTCTCACTGCCTAACGTCCATAACAGCAGAAGTAACACTGGAGGGGACCCCCTTCCCCCGCTTTGACCTTGGACCTCTGGTACAGGCAGATTGGCAAATACACTGCCTTGGATTTGGTGAGTTGGAATCATAGAGTAATAACCCACAGGACTTACAGCCCTGGCCTCTGTCCACTCCCTGAAGCTTGGAGTAAGCCCAAATAGCATTACTGGGAGGCAGACAGGGGAGATGCCAGTCAGAGCCAATAAACAGACATCCTCTCTCCCTCGGTTTGACTTCCTCAGCAGTGCACTGAAATAATGCTGAGCCTAAAGTCTGCAGTAATGAAACAGACACAGGCGATCAAGGGGCTATAATTCCAGGCAGGAGGGAAAGTGCCCTGGCTCTGCAGTGGTTTCTCGATGGCCACCCTTATTTTACTGGAAAGGGAGCTGTTTGTGGTGTCTCCAGGGTCCTTCTGGCATTTTATGGCCTTTGTTGGAAAATGCTTTTAGATTAGCATTTAAGTCTGTGTTATTCTTGAAAAGACTGACTGAGTAATAAGTGAGCTAACCTATCCTATTTTCCATAAAGAACTATAAATTCCTCCTGCTTCTCTGAGCAAAACATGAGTATTCCCACCCACACTCTCAGCTACCCACTGCAGAGGATGAAACCCCGCCAAGTCCTACTTAAACACTGCTGCTCCTGGGGCTGCAGACCAGTCCCTGCCGCTTCCAGCCGGAGTCCGCCTCACTGTGTTTGAGTTTTTGTCCTGCTCCAGTAAAGATAAAGTCATATTCATAGGGCCAAGAGTCCCTCTGCCAGGCGGGCTGAAACACCACAGCCTTACTGCGGTCAGCAGCCCTTGGAGAAGCGTTCAGACACTAAATACTTTGCTATCCAGAAACTGCCGCAAACAGCAAGGCAGATGGGCCTCTTCTTGCCATGTGCACCATTTTCCTGCCCCAGTGGCCAGACTCAGCCTGTCCCTCGTCTGAAAGGCCCTTCATTCTCCTAAGCACCTGTCAATGCCACAGGCCAATCCACCTGCGGGTGTTTGTTCTCTACGGGCTGCAGTAGCAGGAAGGGGAATTCGGGAAGCAGGAAGTGAGGACTTTGCATGGGAACATTTAGATCTCAGGATTCAAGTCAGGACCTTACTGAATATTTGCTTGTTGTCTTTGTGTCAATTTAAATGTCCACTTAATTCTCTCTCCAGACCTGGCTCCAGTATCTGGTGAGTTGGGAGAGAAGCGTTGGGGCCTTGGAATGAAGTCCCCAGGGGTGGAGGAACGGGGAGGGAAGTGCTCACAATAGAGAGGGCAAAGATGCCCCCTTACCCCACAGGCACAGGTGGTCAGTGGGGTGGGGGCTGCTGACCAGTGAGGCCTGATTATGCCAAAGGAAAATAAAGACAACTGTAGGGCCATCTTCCTAGAGCTTGAAGACCTGGAGGAAGGCAGCTCGCTGGCCTCAGAGGTGACCTTACTTTGGGGGCCAGGAAAAGGAGAGGACAAACTCTGGAAGTGTTCAAGGCCAGGAGGACATCAGGATACAGAGGTGGAGATGCTGGGGCAGGGAAGGGCTTCCTCAAGGGCGGGGGAAGGGAGAGAGACTGGACAACCTGAGACAAACTGGCAGCCAGCCAGCAGGACCCAGGCCGGCCAGGCAGTGAGGACCAAGAGACAGCCTGCTTCTGGGACACCAGACACGGCCTCTTCCCGAAGACCACAAAGCTCCAGCCAAAGGAGAAACCACCTGGGCCTCCCTATACTCTTTCCTACTCAGGAGCCAGGAATGTGCCGCCTCCTTCTGTTGCCCTGACCTCACCAGCTACATGCAGCAGAATGGCTGGATAGTTTCCAAATGCTATTTGCCTACCATCACTGGCAACAGGTAACAAACAGAATGAGAAACTCTTACCTTTATTTTCATTTTTGTTTTCTTGAAATAAAATTTCTTAGAATGAACTCTGAACGTAAGGAGAAGCAATCCTAATTTGGTAACACCATTGAATGTTTCCATTTTTCAGGGCAAACCAATCTCTGGATTTGGGGTGGTGGGGAGGGCATGCTATGAGGCATGTGGGATCTTAGTTCCCCCACCAGGGACCCACGTCCCCTGCAGTGGAAGTGCAGTTTTAACCAGTGGACCAACAGGTAAGTCTCCGGACTTTTCATTTAGAAAACAAACAAAACAGGGTGAGATAAAAAGAATTAACTAAGGAAAACATAAATAAAATGAAAAGACAATCTACAGAATGGGAGGAAATATTTGCAAACAATATGACCAACAAGGGCTTAATTTCCAAACAGCTCATACAACTCAGCAACAAAAAAATCAAACCCAATTAAAAAATGGACAGAAGAATAAACATTTTTCCAGACAAGAAAATGGCCTATTGGCAATTTATATGAATGAAAAGATGCTCAACACTGATAACTGTTCAGTTCAGTTACTCAGTCATGTCCGACTCTTTGTGACCCCATGCACACCAGGCCACGCTGTCCATCAACAACTCCCGGAGTTTACCCAAACTCATGTCCATTAAGTCAGTGATGCCATCCATCCATCTCATCCTCTGTCGTCCCCTTCTCCTCCTGCCTTCAATCTTTCCCAGCACGAGGGTCTTTTGAAATGAGTCAGCTCTTTGCATCAGGTGGCCAAAGTATTAGAGTTTCAGCTTCAACATCAGTCCTTCCAGTGAACACTCAGGACTGATCTCCTCTAGGATGGACTGGTTGGATCTCCTTGCAGTCCAAGGGACTCTCAAGAGTCTTCTCCAACACCACAGTTCAAAAGCATCAATTCTTCAGTGCTCAGCTTTCTTTATGGTCCAACTCTCACATCCATACATGACTACTGGAAAAACCATAGCCTGGACTAGACAGACCTTTGTTGGCAATGTAATGCCTCTGCTTTTTAATATGCTGTCTAGTTGGTCATAACTTTCCTTCCAAGGAGTAAGCGTCTTTTAATTTCATGGCTGCAGTCACCATCTGCAGTGATTTTGGAGCCCAATAATTGTTAGAGAAATACAAATCAAAATTACAAGTTTCCACCTTACACCAGTCAGAATAGCCATCATTAAAAACTACAAATAACAAATGCTGGAGAGGATGTGAAGAAAAGAGAACCCCCTTACAACTGGTGGGAATATAAGTTGGCACAGCCACTATGGAAAACTAAAAAGAGAATTACCATATGGTCTAGCAATCCCACTCCTAGGCCTATATCCAGACAAAACTCCAATTCAAAAAGATATATGCACCCCAGTGTTAACAGCAGCACTATTCACAATAGCCAAGACATGGGAACAGCCTAAATGTCCATCAACAGATGAAGGGATAAAGAAAATGTGGTTAATGTATACAATGGAATACTACTCAGCTATAAAAAAAAGGATGAAATAATGCCATTTGCAGCAACATGAATGTAACTAAAGATTATTATACTAAATGAAGTCAGAAAGAGAAAGACAAATACCATATGATATCACTTACATGTGGACTTTAATATATGACACAAATAAACCTATTTATGAAACAGAAGCAGACCCACAGACATAGAGACCAGACTTGCGGTTGCCAAGGGGGAGGAGGATGGGGGAAGGGGTCGAGTGAAAGATTGAGGTTTGCAGATGTAAGCTATTATATATAGCCACAAAGAATGGATAAACAACAAGGTTCTACTGCACGGCACAAAGAACTACATTCAATATCCTATGATAAAGCACAATGGAGAAGAATATTTTAAATGTATTTATGTGTGTAACTGAATCACTTTGCTGTACAGTAGAAATTAACACAACATTGTAAATCAACTAACTTCAATTTTTAAAAAAAAGGACTGAAAACGACCGTAGGAAGAAGCTAAATTAGTCCACGCAGTTTGAAAATGAAGATAAAAGTCTTAGCAAAATTTGCACGTCCCCTGTATAACATGTGACAGGGCCAGGTGAACTCCCAGTCTTGCTTACTTCGTCAATATCATCCTGGGCCCATTTAGAAGGAAGAGCTGAGCCCAATCACTTCCACCAGGTCTAACCTGAGGCTGGACTATGCAACTAGCCATTTTAGGAAAGTATATACATTCTTATATATTATACTAAGAGTTGTCTCTATAGCATATAAAGTTACACAAAATAAAAATTACATGTGTGCCTGAAATAACAAGGGCACATGTACCTTTCTGGAAAAATAAAGGTGGTATTCAGCTTGGCCCTTTGGGGATGACCTGACAGAGGGTAAAAGAGGTGGCTGAGTCCGACATGACTTAGAGCTATGTCAACTCCATGGTGCACATTCAGAGATGGGGTGTGGGGCTCATAAGTTACGTTCCCTGTTCCAAGGCCATCAGTTAGCTCTGTCACTCTCCTCCCCACCTCCAGCAAGTCTCCCCTGAACTCCCAAGACTCCTTTACTTGGTTCCCCAACAGATAGTGAATATACATCCTTGAGGTCAGACCTGTCGGCATATGGAAATCTAAGCATCTTTGGGGATCTCCCACGTACCTGCTCTGCCTTTTAGCTGGATCATATGGTTCTCACAGCAAGGGATCTTACTCTGCCCCCCTGCCTCTTTTCAGAGGTGTGTCTGTGACGGAGGCCCAGTTTCTACTCTGACAACCCCACTCCCTCAACACTCACATGCACAGCAGTTCTATCCAGCAATCTGGAGACAAATACAGGAAGAGCTTGAGTCAGGGCCCCAGCTGTAACTCTCCTGGAAACTACTGCTTTAAGGTAATGAATATATGAGTGTCCCTGGGACTTTAGGATAATGTCAAATGAAGACGTGGGGTCCCTGATCCTTTCATTCTTGGGTGTGGGCCCGTGGAGCAGTGTGCTGACATGCCTCCCACCTCCTCAACCCACACACAGCCCTGGCCCCCACAACAGCCTCTCTAGTAGAGCAGGAAGGAGGTGGTGTTGGCCGCCTCTGCAGGATGGCGTGGAATAACACCAGGATCAGGGCCCACCCCAGCCAGAGGGATGGCAAGGAAGCGAACCTAAAAAGCAGGAGAGGAAACAACTCCAGCCTCTACACATTGACCAAAGCCACTCCTAGCCTGGATGCTCCCCTCAACCCTGGGGCTGCTGTAACCACTAGGCATCCCCGGCCTTGGGGAGTCAGACCCACCCGATCAGGATTCCGTTCCTCCTAAAGAGGTCCTGAGTCAACAATAGCTATTTCACAATGAGGACATGTGCTCTGACTAGAAAAGCAGACAGACGTGGCATGTGAGAGGCCAGCCGCAGGCATCCACATCAGGGTCTGCCACCCAGTCCTCAGAAAGCAGGAACCTCTGTGAGCACATGCCTCTGTGCCTCTGGAGCTTGGAGGAGCCCCTCGGGCCACCAACTCCCAGGTCTCCCAGCCTTGCATCATCACAGCCCCACCTGGTCCTGCAGTCCCCAAAACAGAAACTGAATTTCAACCAAAGGGCCCGAGAGCTTGAGAGCATTCACAAAGGGCCACCAGTGGGCCATAGTGCTATGAGGCTAAGAAGAACAAAGCCGGGTGGAGCTCTGCCAGGAACCAGAAGAAAAGAAACCTTCTGTTGGCACCTGGGGCAGAGGCCCACTCTCCCTTGGGAGGCCTGGGCTTGGTACCAGGGTGAGGCTTCTCAGACATGCTTTGACAAAGATTTTCTGAAAGTCTCTATGGTGCTTCCAAGTTCACAAGTTTATAGAATGTTAAAGTAGGAAGAGACATTTTGTGGGATTTTTGCAAGGCCTTTCTCCTCTCTGGGCCACATATCTGTATGAAGAAGAGATTGTACCAGATCTGCAGGCCCCAACCCAGTCTGCACATGGGAACAACCTGGGGATGCCCTGCTGCTTCCAAGTCACCCGGAAGCAGGTTTTGGGGGAGTTGGCAGAGGAACTGCTGCCATCAGACTGGGCTCCAAGAATTGGAAATTGTTTAAGCAGGGTGATGGGCAAATGGGTCGGGCCGGGGCGGGGGGGTATCAAAGAGGAGAGGAAATATTGTTCTGTTCACTTTGCTTTTTAGAATAAAAAGTTAAAAAACTAAAACTACTAATACCCTAAAACTAGCTGTGCCTGGGTCTCACCTGGAACCTATTAAATTGGAATGTCTAGAGAGGTCTTCCCTGGTGGCTCAGGTTGTAAAGAATCTACCTGCAAATTCGGGAGACCTGGGTTTGATCTCTGTGTTGGGAAGATCCCTTGGAGAAGGAGGTCAAGGCAACCCACTCCAGTATTCTCGCCTGGAGAATCACTATGGACAGAGAAGCCTGGCTGGCTACAGTCCATGGGGTTGCAAAGAGTCAGACACGACTGAGCAATTAAGAACATGGGGGCTGAGAGGGTGCTGAAGAATTGATGCTTTCCAACTGTGGTGCTGAAGAAGACTCTTGAGAGTGACTTGGACTGCAAGGAGATCAAATCAGTCAATCCTAAAGGAAATCAACCCTGAATATTCATTGGAAGGAGTGATACTGAAGCTGAAGCTCCAATACTCTGTCCACCTGATGTGAAGGGCTGACTCATTGGTTAAGACCCTGATGCTGGGAAAGACTGAGGGTAGGAGAAGAGGGCAACAAAGGATGAGATAGTTGGATGGCATCACCGATTCAATGGATATAAACTTGGAGAAATTCTGGAGATGGTGACAGACAGGGAAGTCTAGTGTGCTGCAGTCCACGGGGTTGCAGAGAGTCAGACACAACTTGACAACTGAACAACAGCAACAAAAAGGGCTGGGACCCTGGCACTGAGGTTTTCAGAAAGGAGTTCCCAGGTGATTCTGCTGGGCAGCCAGGATTGAGAACGCTGGGCTAGATACTGAGTAGTCCC